GTCTTTTTGCTTTTAAAAATAATAATTAAAAAAAAAAAACAATAATAAAATACACACCCCACCCCCCCCGGCATTTTCCTTCCTTCACCTCGGGGACCTGCTGGCAAAACCCCCTTTGTCTCGGCCCCGCAGAAGCAGCCGGACCCTCCTGGTCCCGCGCCCGGCTGCAACCGAGAAATCCCTGCGGCAGACGGCATCGCCCCTCTCCCTCACTCTCCGGATGCGATTAAAATGGAAGACAACCATCAAGTGTGCTAGAACCATTTTAATATAATTATACATATCTGCCAAATCCAGGAAAAAAAAGGTTTATGCATATATATCTTTTTTTTTTTTTTTTTCAGTTAACATCTGCAAGCATAAACGACAATGAATTTCTCGGTTTAAATTCATCCAGGTCAGAGCAACTGCCCAAAGTCCTGTTGGATTTGACGGTTACTGCCGGCGTGGCCAGCAGTAAGTGAGCTCCAGAGGAGTTTTAATGTCCTCAGGTGGGGTTTATTCGGTCTTTTCTCTTTCATTCAGAGACAGTTTGTTGTAAAAAGTTTCAGTGCAGCTCACCTCAGGTGAAAGGCGACCGTGTTTTTCTTTTTTTTTTTTATTTTTAATATATATTTTTGTATTTTTTTTTTTAAAAGATGATAATAGGTAACTCAGTTGCTCTGAATTTCACTTATAATTATAACCTATTTAAATCACAGCAGAACTCCCGCTGGTGCGGAGTTCATAGTTGCATACAATACAGGAGATCACAGTTTTGAAGTCTAGCACAGATTAAAAACCACAGATGTACCATTTATATAAGACACACACTGATTGTCTCTTAAAAACTACATATTGACTCCTTATGAACATTATCTTTTTTTTTTTAATCTTTAAATAAAGTAGTGCAGCTAGGACAATCAGTCACACAACCCACACAGCCCTGAACCAAGTTCTCCGGGTGCCAACTTGAGCGAGTTGGGCATGAAACAGTTGGATGAGCTCAAGAGCGAGAGAGAAAGAAAGAGGGAGGGAGAAAAAGAGGGACAAAAAGAGAGATGCTGTCCATTCCGAATACTTTAACCGAGGGTTGGCTAACACATTGGAAACCTCTGGGTGAAGGATCTTTCCACGCACACACAAAAAAAAAGAAATAAAAACCTAGGCTTTTTTTTTTTTCCTTTTTTTTTTTTTTTTTTTTTTTTTTTTAAAACTGGCCCGTAGGTAGGACGATCTCCCACCTCTTCCAAACAAAGAAACCCAACAATTGCCTAAAACTAGAAAGAACACAGATGGGTCTGTCTGTTTTCTGCTCACTAGATGATCTGTCCGTTTAAGGCCTTCCTCCTCCGTTTTTTTCCTCTTTATTATTCCTTTTCCAGAGCGTCTGAGCAGGAGATGAGTCTGAACGGGATCACACCAACACTGTCCCCCCTCTTGTCGCTGTCGGCTTTTTTTTTTTTGTTCGTTTGTTTGTCTGTTGAGTTAATTTTTCTCTTTAATTTAACCAAGACCTGACTAAAACTGGAGCGTTCAGCCCAGCCTGTTCGTTCTCGTCGCGATTTCTCTCGTTATCACAAAGGTTCTTCACAAAACCTGGAACTTCCATGACGATGTCTGGTCCTTATAATCCAAGCAGTCAGCATTGAAGTTTAACTTCCAGGAGGCGGTTTGGTCTTTATAATCCAAGCAATCGGTGGTGGAGTTAAAGCCCAAACTGGAGGCTCCATAGCCCTGGGTGGAGAGGGAGGCTGGAGACTGGTTGAGGTGGCTGGTGACCGCGTTGGCACCCATGGGACTCAGGGTGGCCCCTGGTCCGGGAAGCTGGTGGTGCATAGGGGTCAAGTAAGATCCACAGTCCATCCCTCCGAAATAGGAGGTTGAGCCAGCGTATCCTTGGCTGTAGCCTGATGCCTGGGTGTAGGTCATGGGATAGGACCTCTGCATGCAGGAGGAAGATGTGGACAGGGGGTCGGAGAGCGGGGAGATGGACGCTGGGCTCCAGATGGATACGGGGGCACTGCTGCTGGAAATGGTGGGAACCGAGGTGCTGGAGGGGGGAGTGAACTGCCCGCTGGTCCCGCTCTCCGAACTCACTTCCCGGGCCGGCGAATTCTTCTTTTTAGCCGGCCGTACCTTGTTCTGGCCCCCGTTCTGCTGCTGCTGCTGCTGCTGCCGGCACTTGGCTCGGCGGTTTTTAAACCATACCTGGAGACGGAGAAACGGGGAGGGAGAGAGAAAGAGCCTGGTGTTAGGGATGCACAGGAAAACCCAAGGCGGCGGGGGGAAAAACAGCCGGTGGCGGGGAGACCTCGCCGGGGAGGGGGCACTAAAAGCGCTCCCTGGCCAGTGGAGGGGTGCAGGCTGCCGCAAGGAAAAGAACC